TCTCTCTCTCTCTCTCTCCGTGCATCCTCCCCCACATTAACAGCTTAGCACAGCAGCAGCATCAGCGGCTCCTACAGCATCCAGCATCCATCCCTGCCCGCCCGCCTCTCTGCCTGGGGAGCAGCAGTCCTACCCGGCGCAGCACCGACGCACGGAGGGGGCGCATCATCTAAGTGATGCCACAGCACCAGTCGCATTTCAGCAACTAATACTGAGAGTAGACCCCAAAAGGAAGGGAGAGAGAAAAACGCTTCAGCCACGAAGACAGCAACTGCCCATGAAGATGTCTAACGCTGACATCGCCTTAAACGCCACCGATCGGATGGTGAAATGTAAGTTAGCCTACATTTTGCGCGTGGTTACCGCTGAAGATATTACATAACATCTCAATTGTGCAGCTCCTTGGGCAGAATATGGCCTTTTTTTATTTTCATGTCGTGCATTGATGGTGTGTATGCGGCCATCAAGTTGTGCTCACGCCGCTGATGGTAGTGGGCTGCTTTGATGTTGATAAACAATCCGGGTTTCTTTGCTGCACAGCCCCCACGGAGAGCGGGCAGAAAGCGTAGAAGCAGCAGCAGTGCACTGAGAAAATATGGATTTATTTCCAAAAAAAATTTATTGCACAACTGTATTTATATTTTAGTCTTTGCTGTCACGATTTGACTGTATCTTTTCTTTGGCATGAGAGGAGAGACTGGGGGGGTAAAAAACAAAAAAAACAGCTGAATTGCCGAGCTTGTGGTAGAAGCTGGGGCAGTGATGCAGCAGGATTTCACAGGCTTTGACAGGGCCAATGGAAAGAGGAAGAGGGCATGAAATTGACATTTAATGGGGGTATATTTCACCAGGAGTGAGTCATGTTTTAATTTGATTAGAAAAGGTCTATAAGGAATCGCAAAAATCTCCATCACTAGATGTAGAGAAGGCTGCTCTGTCAGAGAATTACTGAGAATACAACTTGGATCAATGGAGGATGATGAAGTGCTCACAGTTGTGCCCTAACTCATTTAGTCCGGCTCATTTTGACCATGGATCAGCTCACAGTGCCTGAAAATATTCGCATTCAGTATATTAACGTGATGGTGAGCAGCTCAGTCAGCATTAACAACTTTGTCCTTTAGGCTACAGAGTTGTAGAAACACGGAGTAATCTACACTGTTAGATTCACTCATGTGATAATGACTGCAGGCACGACCAATGTTTGCATGTATGCGCTGCTTCAACTGACAAAGCTTTATTTAGCAATTTAAGGAACTATATTGTCAGAAAATGAGCCAGGTCCCCCCTAAGGGACCTTAACTATCTTTTTTTTAGACAGGTTTTTGGTGGAGCGCTTCATCAGACAGCAGGCACAATCACTAAAGAGTTTCCTATCACAGACTGATTTTGAAGTGTATCAAATAACACACTGTCCAAACTGCTGACACATCTCATTACATTCACCCTGTTAGCACATGATACAGCTCATTGTTTTACTAGGGCAGTATATCCATTTGTCAACCATAAAGTCCATAACAGGAGAAAGAAGTTGGTCTAAAATGTGCTTAGTTGTTGTATTTTTGAGCAAGATCTCACAACCAAGATAAAACTATTGTGGTTACTTCTTTGGCAAAGCTTTTACTGACATCCAGGCACTCAAAAAAATATCAAACAAAAGGTTTATATCAGCAAATGAAGCACAGCCAAGAATTCTGACTCAGTTTTCTGCTTTTGTAACATGGTCATGTAACATTTAGGATTTGGGGTGTGAAACAATCAAAGCATTTTTTTTTCTGGTTGAGTAAAATCATATGTATTTGTGTCATTTTTGATATTCAAGTAGCTTCAGGCTGTGTAATTTAGAAACTTGCTAAATAGCTTTATCTATGTCTCCCTATTAGATCTTATCTAGTCCCCATTAACTTGGTCTTTTTGACAAAAATAAATCATTCCACCAAAATCTTCATTTGTCTTGTTGGTCAGATGCTATTATTGTTGTATCACAAATGATTTATGCTATAAAGGTTAGAAATTGCTTGGCTAATGAACTAATATGAACGTTCCTTTTGTCACTTTTATCTGCTCCCCAATTCTCTTATTTTCAATCCCTGAAGGGCCGAAAAAAATGAGATGCACGAAGCCGAATCATGCATCATTCAGGTGATCAAAGGAAGCTATCAGGACAATGGGGATTTTGATGAGTTGAGACTGACGGTCCTTACAGTTATCGCGTGTGGTGCTGCATGTAGCAAACTACCACGGACTGACACTACAAGCTACTCCGAGTTATTTTTATCCCTTTACATATCTCTAACTTAAAGCTCAGAAAGTTTCTCTTTTCTCTTACATGTTTTAACCTGACAGAACATATCTTAAGAGATAAAATAACTGCTGGTCTGTGCAGTTTGTTTTCCACAGCACTGTCACCACTGCTGCTGTGGGCATGAAGAGGCCTATTCAGGTCAGTTATTTTAGGGATGAGGCCTTTAGTACACCTGTGAACTATCTTACTTTATTGTAGCACCTAATTTTCTTCCAATTACTGACTGATGTCCTGATTTCATAGACTGATGCAGTTGCTGTATTCCGAAAGAAATGCAATATGTTAATCTGTAACTGTTTCATCCATTGTTTGAAGTTATTAAAAAACGTTTCTTTGAATAAATAATTATGCAACAATATGATACTTAATATGTCAGCTTTAAAGTAAACAGGCCCAGTGACAGGTTTAAACATCCACTCCAGCATTCAGTAGCAAATTGATTCAACAGTTAAGATGACATTAATATTTTATTATGGTTACGATGGAGCAATAGTTGGGTTTGGCTAAAAAGATCTGCTTCTATCTACATTTTTAAAATCAGTCAAGGGGAACATAAAACCTTTAAACCACACATAAAGCAGATCTCAGCTGGCAGAGCTGTAGGGTGTGGGTGAAAAAAGCGACAAGACTCTCATGACATTATGTTAAATGCATGACACTTGGGTCTGTGCATGTTAATTGGACCTCTTACTGTCTAGTTAGTCCAATCAGATGAAGCATTCAGCGTTTCCTGACTGAACCTGGGGTTGCTCATTAGCAACACAAACCTACCATACACTTAATTTTATTTGAAGCTTGCAGAATGGATAAACCATTCTCAGGAAGACATGTTTTGGCATAAAAACGTGTACAGTACAAGCTCATACTCAACATGATTGGAAAATTTTGACTCGCGTCTACTCTGCATAAGCATTTCCAACAGCATCTATGTGAACCTCCAATGCAAATTGCAGTTTTCCGCGGCGGCGCTGGCTGTACTCCAACAGTCAGCTGCTGCTGCTGCTGCTGCTGTTGCCCGGCAACATACAGTATTTCATAGTTCAACTCTGCTCGGGTGCTGAGCAGAAGTCAGCTTTTCATCTCATTTCATCTCACCACACATCTATATCACTGTGCTTGTACTGTATGTCTGCATCTACACGTGTGTGTCTCTGAAATATGTTGTTGAAGATCATTTGTTAAGGATCTGGGTTGCTTTTTTGGGGATTTCTTTGTTATTAGTGAGCTAAATCCTTTGTTGCTCTATTCTGCCTAAAAAAAGCTTAAGTGTAATGTCCTTTTCAAAGCATCTGCATGTGGCTCCATTTCAGTTCATTTTACTGTTACTGTTAAAAAGCTGCCAGCAGTTGGAAAAAATGTGAGTAGTGTGTGTCAAAAAGTAAAATCAGTTAAAAAAGTAACTCAGGTTTCTGCATCACAGTTATTTTTCTACATGTATGTAATGCCAATTGCAAAAAACATCCAGCAAATTCATCAGTGCACAATGACATTAACTAAACTAAAGCTTGAGTGGTGACTGTGCTGAGTTTGTACTAGCTGGTAAAGTGTTAAAGTACACATCGCCATCACAGATACACACTGCACACTGTGAAAAATTTGAGTCCCATTAAATTCACTCGCTGGGGCTCGCCTCATTATCCCAGGAGCAGCGACTTTGAGATTTCTCTAGTCAAGCATTCATTATTAAAAAGCATGTTGATCATGTTCAGTTTAAGCCTGAGCTTTGAGACTCTTCTTTTGTCGTCTCTTCATTTGGCACTGCTGAGTGGCCCTGTTTGCTATGCACTGCACAGATCTGGCAAGCATACCCTTACTCCTGAATATACTACTGCTGACAGCTTGTGTTATGTGTACATATGCGCAGGGATGGAAAGAGTACTAAGACTTTACTCAAGTAAAAGAGAAAATGTAAAGTAGGTCAGTGAAAACATAGAATAAACATTACTGCATCACATTTGTATGGCCTTGCATATGATGTAATGTTATATGATAAAACTATTAAATTAAAAAACACCTTTAGTCTACAAAACAAAGTGCGTTAAAATTAGCAGCTTGTGCATTAAGCTATCATTATAATATATATATACACACAAAATAGCCTCCTTCAATGTAGCCAGAAAAGTAAGAAAAACTCAGACAACTACACAAAAATGACCAACAATAAATAAAAAGTCCTATGAAGCCCAATATTACAGCCTACTTTAGCTACTTAAACAGCAGAATAATGAACAAGGCAGCTAATACATACATATAAAGATTATATTAGTCTCTATAAACATATATATATATACGACCTGGGAATGAGAATGGGCTGTAAAGTGTGTTGGAAAAACTACAGTGGCTGCAAAACGCAAGAAAAACATGAAAGGCTCTATCCATAGCCAGTGTGTGGTTGGTCCATTTTGGGTAACTGCTACTGCATCTGTTGATAAAAGCAGCTCATTGTAAGGTAACAAAAATACAACAATTCCTATATTCAGGTGATTACACACTAATGAAAACATACCTGTGAAGATTATATTGCATTTCTGCCAATAGATCCTCTTAAAATGTTACACACTGGTAACACACTGGACCTTCATAGATATCTGTTTATAAAGATTAGCCGAAATGTAACAAAAAAATCAGAAACGATCTCTCACGTCTCGCTCCATTTTTGCATCTCAAGTTGGTAATTGGACTGTAAACAATAACCAGATATCCGTTATCCAGACAGCAGCTGCAGCTCGTAAACACACACAAAACGTGATCAACTGAATTGGCCTAGATGATCAAAAAATGCAGAAAGGCTTCACCTCACTTAAGGTAAACGACCCAAAGCAAACGTACAAGTCACCACAGGAGGATCCACCACTATGAGCATGTTAGCCTTATGATTTTAGCATTTAGCAGTTAGCCAGACCCAGCATGCACCTGTTTGTCACACAACATCAGGGGTGTGTTTGATTTGGTACATTGAATAAGTGATTATGGTACACAAAAATACGACTTGCAACTGGACTTCATGTGACTTATTTTTGTCTTTTCATCTGAATTCTTTACAGCTCCTACACTTGAGTTTTCCGTGTTAATCCAGATGATCTGTAGATTAATTTCAATACATGGGGCCATGAAAGCTTGCAGTGACAGCACACAGAGATCAGATCTAATGAATAACCTTTGCTGCCACTGAAGTAATGATCTGTGGTTGGATTTCACAGTTTCACAGACGGTCTGTTGGGTAGGTGACTGGTGCATTTTAATGGCCACAGGCTTTAGCAATCCAGGGAGAGTGCTGGATGAACAGAGTGCTTAGATGTTAGCTGAGTGTTATCCAGCACTCAGAAAATACTTAGCAAGTAACCACACATCTATACTGGAAAAACTGTTATTAACTGACTTTGGGATTTTTGTGTCGTTTTCCTCCAGTTACCGATCTTGTCTGTTGCCATTTACACATATTAAAAGTTCATAATATTAGCAGGGATATAAGAGGCTTTTATTTTCTGCATTGTACACTCAGTGTAATTTATTATATAGAATTTAATTATATTTCAAGTAAGACATACAGTATATTATGTATTGCTAACGTAAAGGAATATAACACTACATATGCAACACATTTAAAACACACTGCAGAAATAAGGGCACGCACATCAGGGGGGAAAAGCTAATTTGTAAAGATAAACATCTGTGAAGAATAATGGTGTTTGACATATATTTCTAAGGAATTTAAGATAATTCTATCTACTGTTTCATTTAAAGCTGCAAATGGCTTCTCATACTGTCATGTCCCTCTGCATATTAAGCAAAGCCATGTTTATCAACATGGTTTTCATGCCAAAGATGTACATATACCGTAAATCAACAAAGATGGATGGTTGGATGCAGCAGAAAGCACAGTAATGCCTGCAGGCGAACCATGGATGGGGATTTCACAAATAGGATTTCTGCATGAATACCTTGATGATATGTTGTCTCTATCATTCCTGAGTGGTGTTTGGCACTATTCTCTCACAACAGTGCAGAGACACAAGAATCGAGTCAAGAATTGTATCCTTGATGGCCTTAACAGTAGCCATAGTTACTGCGATGTCCCCACTGTTTAAATGTCACCATGTGCCTGTGCTCTGTCCTCAGCTGTCCCCTTCCCCTTGAGCCACCGCCTTACATTGAAGGAAGTGTTTGACTGCGAAGGGAAACCTCGCGTGGATCTCCTGAAGGCCCACCTCACCAAGGAGGGCCGCGTAGAGGAAGCCGTGGCGCTTCGAATCGTCAACGAGGGAGCAGCTATCCTGCGTCAGGAGAAAACTATACTGGACATCGAGGCACCAGTCACAGGTATTAAACCTGTTAGAAATATTTACCTGGCACTCTTCCTGCTGCACTTATAGCCAGCTGTAGGAAGCTACACCAGGAAATTGTAATGACTCAGCATTGTGGTTAAAGATATTTGATCTGGTTAGATATAATATGACATGAGGCTTGAATTACAGACAATCAGTCTCACCACTGCTACCTGCTGCTTCAGTTTGCAGTTTATTTGGCCTGCCTGTTTTTCACGTCTTACAGTAGGCAAAACATTGGCTTTTAAAAGTCTTGTGTCACCAAATGTGACACACTAAAGGAAACTTATCTCGCAACTTGCTAATATTAATGCAGCCTGCTACAGGAGCCCTGTAATAAATCTTACTGAAGTTTATAATGTTCAGTTTTTGTTATATTGCATTATACTGAGAGGCGTTAGTGATATTTTCTCTACCCCATTTATATCAATGATAGAGAGTCTGGTCTGTGGGTGTGTGACATTGTGCTACTGTTTGTTTGTTCTTCTTTTTTGGCATTTTTGGATAGTTGATAGGGAGAAGGGCGTAATACATAGACCAGACCACACCTTACATTGTTTGATGATATGCTTACATTATTATATGGAGTAGTTTACCATGTTTGCTAAATGTTCAAGTTATCTCTCTAATTTTAACATTTAAAGCTGAGGAAAACATTGTAAACTATAAAATCACTCACAAGCAAGAATGCCTCCAAAAGCACATGCTCTGTGTCAAAAGGTTGGCAGCCTGTCCAGGGTGTGATGTACCCACCCAGTCTCACCTGGTGCTGCGTGAGAGGCAGACACCATTAGCCTAAACATTATAGGTGAAATAAATACAGAGACTTTTCGCTACAGTTTAAGTTACAACAGCCCTGGAAGAATAAGTGGAACCCCACATCATAACTTATATTGTCAGGAAGCATGACCTCTTTTACCAAAATGCTCCATCTTAGCTCCTTGGCCCAAATGATTCAGTGTTCATTTTAGCGAAGTTAGCAACTATCTGGTGAAGAAAGTAGAACATTTAGCCATGCTTGCTGCTCTGTGAGGTTGTACTTGAGCTAAACGCTAACATCTACATGCTAAGGTGCTCACAATGACATGGTAAAATGCTGATGTTAGGCATAGGACTTAATAAGGAGTTGGAGGATGTGGATAGACAGTGCTGCTGTTTGTACCTGTAGTACAAAAATAAACAAGGCACCTGACTGGAGCACAAGCAGAAAGAAACGCAGATAATAGGAATGTAAATTCTCGGTGCAGGAAACTCACTTTCAGGTAGAATCGTCATTATCTTGTCAAGTGAAATAGGCCAACGATATTTCAGAAAGACTGTATGTCTTCTCCAATCAGAAACTAAATCACTGGTCTGTTATGGGTGAGGCTTTTTCAGTAATGTAGACTACTGCAGTGCTTTGACTCTGAAGTAAGTTTCAACTGCATTCTGGCTCAAAGATATTGTGCTCAGCACATGTAATGTGAGTAAAGGCACCAGTGTAAACGACAGTAGCGCGTGGATCAGGGTTTTTAGATCCAGTGTAACACTTAGGAGGATCTGTTGGCAGAAATGGAATATAATATTCATATGTATGTTCATTCATAAACACCTGAATGTAGGAATTGTTGTGTACGTGTTACCTTATGAGAGAGACCGAGGTAGCGCATCTTCTTTTCCAGACACAAAATGATTTTATCCTGTATATTCAAGTTTACCATTACGAGAAATTAATCAAGAGACTTTTTACTCTGGTTGAAGTTTTGTTGTTAAAATAATGGGTTGTTTTTTTGGATTAAATTAGCCAGGAAATTGAGAAACTAAAAAGAGCTAGTAGGTATGGATGTCCAGTCTCAGTTTTCTTTGTACAGAGTGAAATGCTTATTTGAGAAAATTGGAAAACTGCCCAGTACTAAAAGTTGGAATAAAAAATGCCTGGTCATAGTTTACTTATTCTTAGTTTTTTTTTTCAATTTTAAACAGTTTTATTTAGTAATAATAAATATTTCAACAACAAGCTTCTTTTGTTAAATTCACGAGAGGGTTTTAATTGGGGTGTCCTGTGGCCCTGTGGTTGTGCTGCATACCATATAACATCAACATTACCCGTTTGATTCTGGCCAGCTCTGCAACCCTGCATGTAATTTCCCCTCTCTCTCCTCATGTTTCTGTACCTTTACCTCTGCTAGACAAAATAAGGTTGGGATGCATTGGTAACACTGCAGCCACGGACCTTTGTTGCTCGTCTCTCTCTCTCCAATGTTTCTTGTTTGTCTGTCTCAACTGTTGCTATCCAATAAAGGCGCATCTGCTAAAAATAATTTCAATATTTATGTGGTGCTAGACACTTTGGGATAAAGCAGTCTAAATAGAGTCCTAACACTTTGATCAAATCGAAGTTACATCTTTGTCTTTGACATATCCTTGAAATACCCCTGAATAATTTGCACTGTGGACATATGATGGACCATTACAAGGCCATTCAGCTTCACCTGAAACTGTGTGACATTAAATATACATGTGATTGTCTTAATTGTCTTCCTTGAAAGCATGTACAGTGTTTAAACCGAAACAAAGGTGACAAATGGATGAAATGCACATTGACTTGAGGAGAAGTCTCTTCATCTTGACTGGTGTCAGGAAAATGGAGGCTTTATGTATTTAGTATGAAATATGGATGATGAGTATTGTGTACGGGCATTTGTAAGTGTGGAGGTCTGTTTTATATTTCTGTGAGCTTGAGTTGTGTTTGAATGTCTTTGCAGCTGTGTGTGTGTGTAGTCATACATTACAAGGCAGTGCACTTGTGAAGATTTACTTATATGGATGGGTGTTTGTGTATGTGCGTGTATGTATGTGCACATGTGTGTGTTTGATTGCTTTAGTCACACAAGCAGTCTCCCACTCACATTGCTCTAAGCTTTGAGTGGGCGAAGGCCACTGTGGAGCTGATAGGGGAGACAGAAAAGAGAGAGGAGATGGAGGATGAGTAGGAGAGAAGGAGACAGAGGAAGATGATAATGAAAAATTGAAGGCAGTAAGGAAATGAGATGTAGGTTTGCACTCCTGAGCCATAGTGTTCGCTGCAAAAAAGTATGTATCTCCCCGGGGGCTTGAGCTTTTTCTACCTCTTTGAGGTGAGCGCTTCTCATTTCTCTGTGGACGACAGAGGCCTTTCAGCCTAGGGCCATAGAAATATCTCAGCACGATGAAGACCTAAGGGTGGGAGAAATTTATACCATTATATTCTCAAACTAAAGTGCTCCAAGTACTTTCAATAGTATTTAGGGGTTTTACTACTGCTATTATGGCTGTAATTGCAGATTAAATATATATTCTTGCAGCATGAATATGCATATTCATAAATATTATTTCCATAACATATTTAGCTTACTGTTACAGGTGAAGTCGATCTTGTTTCTACTTGACACAACTAATTGGCTTTTCTATGCTGGGGGAGGTTAGTCTGTTGCATACAATAATCTAGATTAATAATGAAGAAATGTGGACATGCCCTGAGCTGTAATACATTTTTAAACTAGCATACAATATGCTTGTTTTTATATATAGCTATTGTTATTTATGCTATTGTATATGGTTACATAACATCTATATTTCATTGAACATTATACTTTATTATTAATGCCAGCCCATGTTTACTCTTTTGATATTTTAAAGTCCCCCTCCAGTCAGAAATATATTTTTCTTCTTCTTCCTACAGTTGGATGTTTGAGCTTCACTGTGCAGAATGATGTATGTGCAGAGTGTGACAGAATGTTTTCACATGCTGAAAGTGAAAAGTTCTCAGTGTGCTCACTGAAAATATAACTTTTAGGGGGCAGGCCTACAAGCTAGGGCTTTAGTCAACCAAAGAAAATCTTAGTCGACTGAAATTCTACATTCTCTTCAACAAATCGATCGGTTTGTTGGGGGGAAAAAAATCTGCACGTTATTTCGAGGTTAACTTATTCGAGCACAGTACAGTATCTGGTAGCTGCTGGCTGCCAATCAAAGTTACAGAACATTGCAAACACAATGAATTCCTGTATTTGGACCATTTAATTATATTCTTACATTCAGGGCATGTCCATCAAGTTAATTTACATACAGCAGCAACACATACACACAAATACACACTGGCAAGCAAAACAAGCTTTCGTACAACAATAAAGCTAAGGCAGTATAAAGCGTTACAGAAAAAAACTAATGAAAAAACAGTTACCATCACTCAGTATTACCATTAGACCCAAATGCCCCAGCTTGAGGCAGTACACACTTAACAGCTTGCTAAAGCATAATTCGGCTGGCCTAACAAAACAGTGACCACTAAAACAACATAAAACTTACAGCTTCCAAGTTTGAAGTTGTACCACAGATAACTGGTAACATTAAAAAATAAACTTCTATCTACTCACTTCTTGTTCTTGTAGTTTGGAGCTGAGTAAAAGTTCAGTAAGTTAAGTAAAGTCCTGCAGTCTCCAGGCGGCTTTGTTGTAAAAAGGGGGATGTCTTATTGTCTATTAAACCATACCATAATCAAAACAAAAACACATTTGTTGTCCATAAATAATGGATTAAGAAGCAATTGTCCGACTAATGAAAATTAGTCCGGACAATTGCATATCAACCGACCAACTGACCAGAAGGTGCCATCCCTATTGCAAGCATGATTTGCGAAATCACAAATAGTTTGGGAGTAAAGGTGTGATGTAGAAACTTCAAACATACGCTGAGAATGGACTTTACAGTGAAGTAGTAGACGTCTTGTGTGAGTTAGAAGGAGAAGGTGAGTTTTTAAGGATTTCAATGCGGAAATTATGTGGAAAAAACATATCAAAACACACATTAATTCAATAAGCGCTATGAGCAGACTGTTTGTACTTATGTCTTAATACATGTCTGGTGTGGATCTTTACAAGCAGCAACAGCAATCAAAACAGCATCACCTTTATCAAATATGAATTATTGAGGATATTGAGATACTGAGATGAACACAAACTGTAGCATCTCGTTGCTGCCTGCCCACCTGTCTGTCTATTTATAAAGATACCTGAGCATAAAAAGAAGATACACACCTCTGATACAAAGTGCGCTACTCTGTACTGCCATGAGATCCTGCCAGAATGTTCTTCTTGTTTTCTGTCTTCTGAACCTTCAGAACCAATAAAAAGGAGAAATGTATCTCCTGCTCTGCTCTGCAGGCGTTACACATCCACGCAAACTTGCATATCATCGTTTCACTGAATGGAATTCAACACAAAAAAGATGGATGGGAACGCAAAGCACAAGGATGCAGACAAAGATATTCAATTTGATTCTTTGATTCTGTAATGTTTGCTGTCCTTTGGTTGTTTTCCAGTGTGTGGTGACATCCATGGGCAATTCTTTGATCTTATGAAGCTGTTTGAAGTGGGAGGATCACCAGCCACAACACGGTACCTGTTCCTCGGGGACTACGTTGACCGCGGCTACTTCAGTATTGAGGTAAAACCATCAGAATATCATGAAGTTATTCATGGGGGGAAACAAACTGCAGAAAGATGATTATTTTTTGCTGCTTTTTACAGGAAATAACTATTTGTTCATATCTTTGTTTTAGTGTGTTTTATACCTCTGGTCGCTGAAAATCCTCTATCCAAAGACATTATTTTTACTTCGTGGAAATCATGAATGTAGACATTTGACAGAATATTTCACCTTCAAACAAGAATGTGAGTAGCTTTTAATCATATTGTTTTTATTTTATTTTTTCCTCTCTCTGTCTTGCTAATGTCATGTGTAGCCTGGAGCACTTTTGGTAGAAATTACAATAAATGCACCTGTCTGTTAGGACTGTTAATTCTGTATGACAGCACAGAAAAAGGGGATGAAAATGTCTGTGGACAATTGAAACTTTAAAGCTGATAACAAGACCCATTAAATATATATTAATTATTATCATAGTACATACTGTGTGCATACTCTATAATAAATATTATTTCTTAAATTTGTACTTCTTATATTTGCATATTACCTGTTTATTTCAACCTGCAAATATTTAAATATACTAGTTTTGTGTCTATATCAAAAGTGAGGAGAAACAGTAAGAAACATGCCATATTAATTTTATATGCAAACATAAACACTGTTTCTGATTACATTTCTGTCTTCTGTCAGGTAAAATCAAGTACTCAGAGCAGGTCTATGACTCATGTATGGATGCATTTGACTGCCTTCCCCTGGCTGCACTCATGAACCAACAGTTTCTGTGTGTCCATGGTGGACTCTCACCTGAAATACACACCTTAGATGACATTAAAAAGGTAATAATATGCTGCCTCTGCACTACCAGGTGTGAGTGTACGCTGGCTGTTTGTGCAGTTTTTTATAAATGCTGCATTTCTGCTTCTTTATGTAAAGTTGGATCGGTTCAAGGAGCCGCCGGCTTTTGGGCCCATGTGTGACTTGCTGTGGGCTGATCCTCTGGAGGATTTTGGCAACGAGAAAACCCAGGAATATTTCAGCCACAACACAGTGCGAGGTTGCTCCTACTTCTACAGGTGAGCTGTTTCTTCTTCTTCCCTGCAGCAACTTCAGTCCTCTGGACCATCTGGGTAATTAAAACTTGAACACTGTTGTTGTCCGTATTTGAGAAAATAACCGTACAGCTTTAAAATCCAAATTCACTAAAGGATACAGCGCATTGCTGCTTTCATGCATCAACAGTCTGAAACTTTGTGTTTTTGGCCATCTTGCATATCATAGACTGCCATTATCTTAACCCAAGTGGCTCGTTGAAGGTCTCTAATTACACTTTAGTTCTAAAAGAATTTTGCAACTCACACTGTGATTCCCTCGACAATAAATCCTGGCTCATGTACTGTATACAAAATTAACCCCATGTTAGTTGATCATGAACTCATTACACCTTTTCTGCTTCACTGGGCCATAACATTATGACCACCTGGACACCACTGTGTGTTCTGACACCTTTCTATCAGAACCAGCATTAACTTTTTCAGTAATTTGAGCTACAGTAG